CTTATAGTTGTAGAACATATATTTAATTATATTATCTATAAATACTTAATATTATAGCTAGGAAACAAAAGAAAATTATTTATTTTTCAGCTTTTAGTGTTGATATTAGTGTCTTCTACAAGCTCTTTGCAGAGTATCCTACACTCGATCACTGGTGTTGTTTCAAAAAATAATTTCTCATATTATACGCTACAAAATAGAGGGTATATTTCTATTGTATTAAAATCTGAGTAAGTAGATTATACCTTTTAACATGTTATACATGTTATACTTATTAAAATATATGCATTTATTTTAATTTAGAGAGGGTGACGCTGATTTATATATATCACAGCCTCATATTTCACATCATCCTACCTTTGATCCAGATACATATTGCCTTCAATCTACTACATGTGGAATTGATATTCTTCATATACCTAAATGGTAATTTAATAAAACTGATTATTTACCATTGTATTAATAGTTAGAAAATAGAATTGTAGCTTATCACTTGGTATGTTTTAAGACTATTTTTCTTAAATTTTTACATATTAACAACGATTAACATATTTTTAKAAAGTTTATAAATTAATAATATAAATTTAAATTGGTTGTAAAATTCCAAAAATCAGAATCCTAAAATTTGATTAAATAATAGGATAAATAGCCCTGAAAATTTTCTATAATACAATATTAATTATTTCAAATAAATAATAATTTTTAGGAATTAAAAAATTACTTATTAAATGTAATTATATCATTTATTATCATAACCAAATATTTATGATCAATGTATTTTACTTTTAAAAAAATTTAAAAAAATATTGTTATTTTTTAATATGGTAAATTTTCTTGTTTCAGAAGAAAAATCTTTGTCTTACCTATTTTTATGATGTCCCTTATTGAGTTAAATGTAAATTTAATTAACTTCTTTTATGCTTTATTCAATATATTATAGGTTTAAACGTCCTATATACCTTGGTATTTATGGTCATCCATCTAATGAAATTGCCAGTTATACATTAGACATAATTAATAATTCAGACCCTGGTGAGGAATTTAATTTGAATTTGTTTGAATCCGAAGAAGAGAATGAAACTCAATCTATAAATACTGACAAAAACAATGATGTAAGAATTTAAATTAAATTAAATATCTGTTATACTATTACTCATAAATAACAATTTTAATTATTTATGTGGAAAAATTACAATGGTATTTCAAATATTTCACTAGATATAATTAGATTTCAATGAAATATTATGATATTATATTTAAATAAAAAAAAATCATCTGTGAAACGATACCGTATTCTTACTATGCTCTGCACCAGGAAAGAACATCACTGTTTTGTGCATACAACTATATAAGTCCAGGGCCGGTCTTAGGGAACTATGTGACCCTTTTGTTCAGGTTAAGTAATTGAATAACAAAAACTATTATTAAAAACTAATATCTGAACTCTGAAGGCGCCCATGATATATCGGCGTCCTGAGCCATCATCCAGCTTACCCACCCCTAAAACSGGCCCTGCATACAACTGATCCGAGACTACATTTTCTCTGCTTTGTGACGCGATGATATTTATATATTATATTGTTGAGTGTTGCTGAATGAAAAAAGCATTGAATAGATGTTGTCGTTGAGTGGGGAATGTGAGAGATCAGATGCTTTTTAGTTGGGTTACAGTAATATTCTCTCCTGGTAGCCTAGTACCTAAGATAAATTTTATATRTTAATTTTTTTCATTATTATTGTTCAAGAAAATTAATGAACATGCTGAACAAGTGATAGATTCCTTCAGCTTATCACTACAGTTATTTTGGAATTTTATTGGTATTATTTTGGAAGTATTATTTTTATRAACGTTAATAATTGAACAAAATGCTCCCATATGAAAATCAAATGTTTCTCGATATCTTACACGAGGATGGCCTAGTAATATGTGCTAAGTAAATTTAATATTTATTTTATATATTTAAAATAAAACTTAATAATTTTCATTTATATTTGTATAGAGGCCTTGGATTGGAAATTGTATTATTGAACATAATTAAAGTATTTTKTGACCCTGGTAACTTAGTATTAGTTGTTGGTTCATCTACTCCCGAAGAAGAATTTTGGATTACTCAATTAAAAAAAGATGGTATCAAACCATTACCAAAAATACTATCTGCTGATACTTCAATAGCTGAAAGGTAATCAGTTTATTATATAGAATTATTTTGACCCATATATGATTATACCAGGTTAGTTACCTTGTTTTTCTATTTTCTATGTTAAAATTTATGAAACAATGAGTAAACATGGTAGCCACCTTTATGAACATTATGACATGTGTATATGATATTCATTTATYTCACATCATTATATATACATTTTTTAGAGAAAAAATTTATCTTCAAGGTGGAGTATTGTTTGTCTCGTCCAGAATATTAGTTGTGGATCTTTTAAAACACAGAATTCCAACACCTCAAATAACTGGATTTTTGGTCTGCCGAGCTCATAATATTTTAGATTCTTGTCAAGAAGCATTTGCTCTAAGATTGTACCGTATGGAAAACAAAGTAATAT